TACTGTTTAAATTAAATTTATTAAAAAAAAACTGGTTAAAACAGTTTAAAAACGTACAATAGTTATTTGTTTTACAAGTGTTGAAAAGCGACTTTTTCATGCGAGTGTTTAAGTTTCTCACGAGGCCGTCAGGCCGAGTGTGCATTAGGGTGGTCCAGAAACGAATTAAAAAAGTGAAGTTGTAAATAGACTTATTCTCACCCTCTAACTTTTTTATATAAAGTAAAAAAAGTTATTTTAGAAAATTTGAACCCTCTAGCTTAATTAGAAGGGAGTGCTCACAGCTATGATAGAATGAATCTGAAGACAATATATCCACATGAAAATCATGGTCCAGAACTCTTAGTAGCATAAATTGCAGCTTTTTTGTGGTTTCTGTCGGAACAGATTTCCGATTCGTTTCTACGATTTGTAACAAGTCTTGCTTTTCGTCCTCATTTTTTATAATTGATTATGCTCTTCAAATAGTTTTACCCATCTTTCTGCTATATCATTTACAACTCGAAGTTTACAACACACAGTCGACCTTGAAAAAATATAAGTAAGAAATAATTTATTGCGTAGACAAAGGCCATATTAATATTATGATTATTATTATTATTGTTGGTATTAAAATTATTACGAGTTCAGAGATTCTCTAGCAACCTCGCTTTTCCCAATCTCCTCATAGCGTTCTAAATCTTTCCAAAAAGTTAGGTCGGACATAGTAGCTTTAGTGGCACACGGTGCCTTGATCCAGATTTCACCAAAACGACCAAAGCCAACTCGATCAGTTCCAAGTAGTCGTCATAACGTTGAGACTTTTGTTTCAATGCAGCTAGCAACAAGGGGATTGGGGAGTTTTTGTAAAATTCAAAATTCTTCGACGATTCTAGGTCTGAGGACTTGAAGCAGATACGATCAATAGGTACCCAAATTATTTTAAATCGATTAAAAATTGGAATATCCGGAAAGCAGCACAACTTGAAAACCTTACTAAGAATTATTTCCAAAACATGATGACTGCAGACTAACCAAAGTAAGAATCTCCCAATTTTTTCTCAAGCAAAACGCAGCATCCATTCTTCATTCCAGTATTTACAGATGTTGTGTCAAAACACATTCCTTATACTGTATCCACCAGATTCCATTCTCGAAGTACGTTTCCGACTTCATTTGCTGTACTCCTAATAACTTTTCTATTCCATCTGCTGAAACTACTACTGATAAATGTTCTACTTTAGTTCAGCAGTGGTAATCAGGAAGAATTTTACCATCCCAATGAACAAAAACTAAACCTTGACAAGAAAAACTTTGTTTCATATCTTTTCTTCCTTTCATGTTTTCGTCTCCGGCAAATAGTGCTGCGAGACGGCATTTCATGCGGATCTTTTCCCAGTGCTATCGCAATCTATACTATAAGCCTTAGAACTTCACGGTCTGAGACATTTTCCCTATCCAAAGCACTTATGACATTTAAACTGTAAAGTGTAGTTTTTATTTTCTTAGGGAAAGGTGCGGGATTAGCTGATTGAACTAGTAAGAAATATATGTTTAGGTAAATAATATTCTTTGGTAATTGTAACATTAATATATAGGGCATAACATTTTATCTAACCAGTAAAAAGATGGCGTAATGTTTTTTTTAAATAAATTAAAAAAAAACTGAAATCTCTTAGCTAATGAGCACTCCCTTCTAATACACCTAGGGGCCTAAAATTTTGGGAATTTTTTATTGATGTTGGAGGTAAAAAAATTGGGGGGTGAGACAATCTGTAAAATCAACTTCACTTTTTTGGACCACCCTAGTGTGCATTAGGGAATGCACACTCGGCCTGATATTTGTTATAATAATACATTTATCAGGTTTGGAAAAAACATGTTTTAAACGTTTAAAAATAATACTTAATGCCTTATACTATTATAGATAGAGGCGCATTGTACTTTCTTAAAAAAAATTATTACTGTTTAAATTAAATTTATTAAAAAAAAACTGGTTAAAACAGTTTAAAAACGTACAATAGTTATTTGTTTTACAAGTGTTGAAAAGCGACTTTTTTATGCGAGTGTTTAAGTTTCTCAGAGGGCGCCAGGCCGAGTGTGCATTAGGGAATGCAATCTTGCAGCAAAATGTTCAATCTTGGTATTGCAAGATTTAAGAGGTGTTATCTCGCGAGATCTTGCAGATTTAAGATTATCGTAAGGGCAAAAAAATGAAATGAAACATAAATTAAATAATTTATTTAAGACTATTCAACTCATTACTTTATGGACCAATCAGATTTCAGAATACGAGTGGTTTTTTCAGTTTTGCAGCGATAAGTTTGCGAAAGACAATTGTCAATTTTGACGTTTCTAATTTTTAAATAAAAATGTCAAAAATATGCGTTTTGGTCACAGACCTAGGTCTGTGGTTTTGGTCAAAAAAATCATACAGAAATTGAATTGGCATGCCGCGGCAGTTAATTCTAATTAAAAAAAATATTCGTGAAATAGTCTTGCCGAATACCACTCGTAATAAAATTTTCCTTGAAAATTTTTTTGATTTTTTACTCAAGATTTTTCCTTGGAAATTTCGCTCGTGGCATTCATTTTTAAGACCACGAGCCGCTAGGCGATATTTACAAGAAAAAAATATTGGTATAAAAATCAAAAATTCAATCGCAAAAATTTTACCACTAGTAATACACGAATAATCATCAAGCTATTGAAGCAAAAAACATAAACATGACTAAAATTATTTATTGAAAAAATTATAGATTATTTTGAAAATTACTTTTCAAAAAACACAAAACACACATGGAATGCGCTGCGTCCTAATCTCGCAAATCTTGCAAGATCGCGCATGATTTTAGTGCAAGACTAATCTTGCAGAATTAGTGCGAGATCTTGCTATTTCCAGATCTTGGTATACCAAAATTGCATTCCCTAGTGTGCATTAACACGAGCTTGAAGAAAGCTTTTCTTACAAGTGAAACACAATGTTTTTTCTACGACCCTTTTATTTTTTATTATATTCAAATACAAAACAAAATAGCCTAAAAACGTGTTTGACAGCTGTTAAAATTACTTTCATACTATTATTTTAATTTTTAAATACAATACAAATTTTGAAACGAATGTCAAACGATGCTGTCAATTTCTTTTCACACAGACCTGTCACTTTTCACACAGAAATGTCACTTTACATTTGTGTTTTGCCTTGCCAATGAAAAGATTCATTTTCTAAGCAACGATGCCAATACGAAATGTGACTTTTACATAGTGGTCGTTAAAAATAATTATTTGTTTTACAATTGTTGAGAAGCGACTTTTTCATGCGAGTTTTTAAGTTGCCCACGAGGCCGTTACACCGAGTGTGCATTAACAAGAGCTTGAAGAAAGCTTTTCTCACAAGTATAACACAATGTTTTTTCTGCGACCCTTTTATTTTTTATTATTTTTAAATACAAAACAAAATAACCTAAAAACTTTTTTGACAGCTGAATGTCAAACGATGATGTCAATTTCTTGTTACACAGACCTGTCACTTTTACACAGAAATGTCACTTTACATTCGTGTTTTGCCTTGCCAATGAAACGATTCATTTTCTAAGCAACGATGCCATCATGAAACGTGACTTTTACATAGTGGTCGTAGAAAAAACTATTTAAAACACTGTAAGATGTTTTAAACATGACATTTGATTGTTTAAAATAGTTTGTTTTAAATATAAAAACACTGAAATTTATCTACTCTGCTTAAATTAATTATAAATGTATTTTTACAAGCACACTGATTGCGTAAGGAAATACAGTGCTTTTACTGTTTTTTGCTTTCCATGAAAACACTCTTTGTATACAAAGGATTTCAAGCATTCTGCGAAAAAAGTATTAAAACATAAAAATAACTCGAAATGCGGTGCCATGTTTACATTTGAAGTAGGTACTTCAGTTATGGGCGGTTTATCAATCTCTAGTTAAGTTCCAGTTAGTCTATCTGACAGTTAAATTTCATATCGATCGTTGTGAGAACAATGGTTTCCATGGAAATTATCTAACAGATAACTAACTGCAACTTTAACTAGACATTTTGCCTAAAGAAATTAAACACTTATCTTCTGACTGGAAAATATAAAAGATCGTTAATAACCAAGAAAATCAAAAATTATAAAAAATTCAAGTTAAGAAAATCTTAAATCATTTTTAACGTCTTTAAATTTTAATTAACGCTTCCTCCCAAGGTTAACTATAGTGCCTTTGTGCTTAAACTTTTTTATTAATAATGCAAATTTATCTTTTAAATTTAATTAACATTTTTAATTAATGTGTCTGACAGGTCAATTAGTTTTTCTTATAAACAATACATAAGTGACCTAGTAACCCGAGTCTAGCATTAATTACAGCACCTACCTGACATGAAATTACATAATAAATGGGAATAGTTGCTTCTACTAATTTTGTTGGGCTAAACCATTTTCACTATAAATATATAGGTAGCTCGTGTTTTTGGTCAATTCAAGGATGAATTATATAGAAATTTTAAACATTACATGTAATATTAGTAGTCTTATATAAGACCACTACCGTAAGTTATTATTGTAAATTTTGGATTGTTTAATTACCATGTTTAAATAATAGTATATTTATTCATTATTAACAAAATCAAAATATTGAAAGGTTGGTGCTATTAATGAATAAACCTTTTTATAATTTACATAAAATGTTGTAGTAGTCTTATACAATAATGAATAACTTCTAAGGGCTGCGTTGAGGGTAATAGTATTGATGCATTAGATTAGACGATAAAAAAGTTTTACATGATTCGTAAAGTTAAAATACTAACAAGGTAGTTAAAATATCCTTTATTTTTATGAAACTTGTTTTACAAAACTTTTATATTTACCTAAATTCTGACATCGATCAAAGACTAATAAACCTTTAATAAACAAACGAAGAAACAAGACATTATTTCACAATTAGGTACTTGCTACTAAGCTGGATGTATCTTATATTATTTTTATGTTTTTTTAAATTTTCAGAATCTTGAAGACAAAGAACGAAAACATTCATCGTTCAAAGATCAGTTGAGTCGCGAACAAAGGTACCTGAAACGGCGATTTGAACAGCTCGCCACCCATTATGCCATGTCGAAAAGACGTTCCGTATCGGAATGTTCCTCGTCCACTGTTTCAAGCAGCCACTCGACGGCGTCCTCCGCACCATCACCTATTTCCGAGTCGGGTGAGTACAAGATTTAATGTTTATTATCATTTAATGAACTTGCTATTAATCAAGTCATAAGCTTTTATTATTACAGTCAATAAAAACCTGAATTTTTTTGTTTTGGTTGTTAACACTAGTGTGATTTTTTCACAAAAAAATAATTGCTTACTTCACTTATAAAATAGTCGATTTCACTTTTAAATAGTTGCGTGATTCTAAAAAAGTTGGGCAACTTTTGACCTTATTTTGTTTATATATTTTTCCGACAAAATTAAACAGTATTTTATTATGAGAACATACATAGATAATATAATAAATATAATGTTCCAGATCGCGCCAGTCAATTTTTCCAACAAAATAAATTTGAATGCAAGGGAAGTGACGTGTATACCAGGGTAATAATTAAATACATAATTTATTGAAAAATATAAGATTTATTGCAACTTTGAGCATATTATACATTAAATATCTTAAAATCAAATAATACCACACATCAGTGGCGGATGGTGGATTTTGGGTATACCGATATCTCAATTATTAGATATTGGAACCACACCAAATTTATATGAGTTTATAATGACATTAAATAAACAAGTTCTGCGCAAGCAGAATTTAAATTGAAGTTTGCGAAAAAAGATAACCGAAACATCGAACATGGAACTGACGACACGGTACTGATGAATGGGATACAAATTTGAGATTATAATTAGGAATTAAGTATTTTACTGATATTTTTTATTAGCTACTTATCAACGAATCACATAAAGCCTTATATAAATTACAACGAAATATATATACGAGAGAAGAAGAAAATAACTACTCACCACAGTACTGAAATTTTGACTGGAACTATACGTGCATTCACCACAACTTCGCCGCTTGCATTGTTTTCAAGATTAATGTCGTGCAAAGGGCGGGCTCTGTAGGTAATTTTTTACTAACACTTGAGTTAAAACGAGGACTTGACGTTTACACTACAATATTTCGCAGGAATTTTGAATGTTAACATTGGACACAGAACTATTTTTTAAAAATTGCTATTATTCGAATCTATGATAAAATATGAAAAATACATTATTTAATGTTTTATAGTTTGTAGTGAAATTGAAAAATTGGATATATTTTAAAATAAAATCACTCATATATTTGATTCAGGAGTTGTGACACGCCAAGGTACTGATGTTTTGAATATTTATTATGTTTTTCTACAAACGTGCTTTTGAAAAAATACATTAAAATTGGGTGGACAAGTTAAAAAAACCTGGATCTTTTGTAATATACTGAAATATTTACAAAAAAAATTAGAATACCTACTCTATTGACTGAAGACATCAAGTTGTCCAACTTTTGTAGAATCACCCAGTTGTTTTTTACTACTTAAATAGTTAAAGTTTGACTAATTTAAGAAAAGTTACCATCTTTGACTGTTTCTAAAAAATATCTAATTTCTTTAATCTTGCGGCCAACCACAAATTATTGTAAGCGTTAAATGTATGTAGGCTTCAAGGTTAAATTGCCCATAAATAAAACAAACAAAGCTCCAAACAGCAACACAAAAAAGATATTTAACTTAAAATATTATTATTAACAATATTTATAGACAAATATAACAAACTTTTATAGAAGTAGCAGTGGAGCAGCGGTTAAGCATCCGTTTGACAAGCGACAGACCCCGGCTTGATCTAAACTTTTTTAAATTTAAATATACTAATTTGAGTATTATATTCGGTAGAATTTGACTAATTACCCTGGAGGGAGGTGAAAATATCACAGCTAAACGCTCAAAAACGTAAATTTAATTTTTGGTCGTAGAATACAAGTCCGTGCTTGGTTTAGCTGTATCAGGTCAAAATTCAGGTATTGAAAACACCCTGTATAAATTTAAACACCCTTTATAAATTTAAAAAAACAACAACTTTGCTGGACCCACTTATCAGTTTTAAATTAAAAAAATAACAAAAATTTAAAGTTAATTGATCAAAAGAAACACGTGTCCCTAAGGGTTTTTCTTAGATAATTTAGGAAATTTAAAATGTTTTTTGCTGATTTTTTTATTGAGTTAATTGAGGATATTATATTATATGAAATAAAAAGCATAGTAATGTTGGCAGAAGAGGTGAAATAATTTTTTTTACAAATTATAATAAACCAGTATACAGTGTGTCCCCGGATCGGATTTCCGGTAAGAAAAACTTTTTTAGACCTAAATTAGGTCACCTAATACAGCTAAACCGAGCACGGATTTGGAATCTACGACCAAAAATTATGTTTACGAGTCCGAGCATTTAGCTGTGATATTTCAAAAGTTAAAAATTTACCTACAGTGTTATTAGTGACCGCTTTGTTGTCATGAAAATAAGTCAAGAATAACTTATAATTAGTCATTTTTGACTAATTAATTTTAAGAGAGTACACTGAAAGAAATATATACTAAAGTTAAATAAAAAAATAATTAGGGCAAATATATTTTATGTTTCATAGATGGACTACCACATACATTGCTAAAACAAATATATTCGTTTGGTTAGCAGCCTATTGCTGCCCTAGCAATATAAATGTGTTTCTAGCAATATTTTATTGCTGTAATTCACTTATAGTTTACATTTTATAGTAAGGGTAAGTTTATTTTTATTTAGATCTAACATATCTTCTTTACAATAAATGTATTACAAAATTTAACATACATTTATAATAAACAGTAGTATAAATATGTAAAGCACTAGTATAAAATTTTTAGTATAAATTTGTATTTACTTTTAGCAACAAATTTCTTTCAGTGTACGATTTTTGACGTTGAAACGAAGTATTGCAAACTAATCTACTCATTAATATTAAATTTGAGAAAAGTTAATTTGTTTGTTCATTACTTATGGAATACTTACATTTATAGTTCTATTTTCACATAATCTACAAAAGCATGTTGAAAGATTCTTTTCACGGTTGCTTGGAAATAATTCAAGAGTTTTCACGAGAAGTCAGTCAAAAAGTGAAACTCCACGACAATTACAAAGTCCGTATTTTCCTGCAAATTTAATAGTAAGAAGAAAACTATGTGCTTCTTGTGCTTTGTTTTAATCCCAAGTTTTTGATTTGTCTACTTAAATTTTATCATTTAATTTACAATATAATTTAACTTATATGTTGATATATGTTACCTTCTGGAATATACTGCATAAATATACATAACTAACCAAATAGGTAGGTACGTAGTTAGATTTTAACTTTGCTAGCTTTATGTGTACTTCTTTTCTTCGTTTCTTAATCTGCATATAAGTTTTAAAATTACTTTCCCATACTTGAACCATAGAGAACAAACGATTCGCCGTTCTTGAGTTAATATTTCTTTATCTGAGGTTTGTGTCTCGAGTCGCCAGACGAGAGACTCAAATAATCCAAGTTAATAATGCGCATAATTACGAGTGTAATACTATACTTTATCTACTCCAATAAGTAGATAATTAAATGATTTTAAAAATTAAATAAATAAAATCTGACATCTGTCAAATGGTTAACCTTACTTTTTACCAAATTTAAATGGTATTATAGTCACCTTCTTTCAATTTAAACCCGATTGGTTCAAATCACAGTGAATATTGAAATCGACCAATCACTAATGCCTAACAACGTGAATAATGAGTTTATTATTCACCTTGTTAGGCAGGGAATTCATAATGTTTATCAATATTCACTGAAAAAATGCAAAATTATGCCATAGGGTAGGTACTAGTATGTAATCGATAAAGTGCTTCTTAAGATAAACAAAGCAGTTGGCTTGAGAAGTAAACATTTATTTCTCCAACGTCACTCTTATTAGTTTTTTATTGTTAATGATATAAAATTTAAATTTTCTTTGCATTTTCAACACCCTGTATCTCGAAATCTAAGATAAACAGCCCTAACATCCATATGAACAATTTTGCCACCAACATAACCATTTCATTTTTTTTTACCTTAGTTTGGAATCAATTAATTTTGTTGGACTTTTGACAACTTTTACGAAAAATCTTTTTCGCTCGATAAAATTAACATTTATAATTTGTTGGCCTAAACCTGTCAACTGAGCGATTCTATTGAGTTTATATTACAGGAAAATCAGTGTTTTAAAGAAATAAATGGGATTTATTACAATTTAAAATTGTTTATATTGCATCAGTGCAGACCTTAAAAATATACGCGTTACAATCTCTATATTAGGCGCAATCCTTTGGAATAATGATCCTTGGTTAACTACAAATCGATTTTTATTTTTTTTATCGGTAATCCCGTGCAATCGCTGTATGTCGCTGCTAACATGTTTCTAATAAAAAAGAAATAAAACATTGAATTAATTTTATACGGAAAGTACACTGTGACAAAGTTACCCGCAATTTTTATTTTTGAAACTCAGCCCTACGATATATTATATTATAGTTATTATGAAAGAGCAACTCAAGACTTAAATTTTGGTATACAATATTTAATGTTTATGATTGTTAAAACCACAAAAATGTTAAGCTTACGTTTGAAAGTGAGCTAAAGCCACCCGTGTTAACGGTACCAATTATATAAAAAATACCAAATCATATTTAAAACAAAGTTTAAATAAAGATATAATGAACACATAAATGTAATTTTAAAAACTTGTATGTAATGTTTATTTTTGATTTGAGGTGTCCTGAGTAACAAAATTTAGTGTACTTAAATTGGACGAAGTCTATTGTAAAGCAATAAACTATTGAAGCATAGTTGTTTGATTGGTTAAGCGTTGAAAATGGCCGACCATCATGAATAGGAAGATCAAAGGCGACTTATTGAGGAAATGATGGGCTAGTTGCTTTTATCGCGAAACTCATAAATTTTTGGTCGGTTGCTTTTACTTCCCTATACATTTAAAAAAATAAACAACAAGGGAATGTTATTAAATACAATACGCATCCTTCAAAAACTAAATCGTATACGTCGAGAATATTTTTACTGTCATTTTTGTCATTGTCATTATTCATCACAAAATCATCAGTTTTAATAAATTGGGTACAAAATGTCCCGACCACAAGGA